TATTTTAATTGTTTCTAGTTCTTATACAACATGTGAAGTTAGCAAAAAGCTTCTATGTGTTGGATAACTGTATTTCCTCTTTTGTGAATTATTTTCATGCCTTTTGCTCCCTTATCTCCTAGGGTTTTAAGGTTGAAAAAATCTCTCTCCATTCAACAAATATTTACTGATCTGTTGTTACAGGCCAAGTGACTGTAGACACAGGATGTATAACAGCAAACGAGATACGGTTTTGGTGTTCAGAGCACTCCTCTCACTCATATGGCCTATTCCGATAATAATACACTAATATTTGCTTCTCATATTACAACAGGTATTTTTCTATGTTCTTTCCTTACTCCTCAAAACAGTTGTTTAATGTTTCCATGTAGTTAAATCTGATAGACTTTCCGCTTTTAATAAAACCCTTTTCTTCCATGCTCCATGCTTTTCCCCTTTTCATTTAAGACCTTTATTCCCTCCCTGTTTGACTGGGCTTGGAACTCTTGTATTCAATGATTTAATTCATTTGTAACTTGTCATGATAGGCGGGTGAGCTGAGCATCTTAATTGGTCATTTCCCCCAAACTTTTAACACTACGGAAGCCTCCCTTCCTCAGACTTGTAAAGATGAAAGAATTCTGATTGGTGGAGAGGTGAGGCAGGGGGTTGCTGAAATGGCTGTTTAGGAAGCCGGTCTGGGAAATGGTGAGGAAGCGGGGAAACACAAGCTGTTACTAGGCAGTGGAGTTTGTCTGGAGTAAAGGCTCCATATATCATAGTGGTTCTTAACTAGGAATAGACGTACCTGTTTATTACCACTCAGGGGTGTGGTCCTGAGTGGGTCTGCCTAGGGCCTGCTGTAGTGTGTGGGTTCTTGTCTTCACACAGGAAAGATTTTACCACATGAGTCTGGGTAACTATGAGGATCCATTTATTAAAGCAGGAAGGGTGAAACAAGGAAGGGCTCAGCATAGAGGAAGCCACTGGATTGCCGAGGCTGGGCTGCCTGAGCTCACAGGGAAGACGGGTTCAGGGGGTTAGCCTCCAGTAAGCTGCCAGATGTGCACGAGATGCAGAGCCTGTGAAGAGGGAGGTGGGGGAGGCAGAAGGGAAAGGCCTGGGCTGCTCCCCGGAGGGAATGGATGTGCTGGGTCCTTTGTCTTCAGGCTTTTAGCTCTTGAGGGGAGGCCTCAGGGGAACGATCTCTGTAGTATATCCATCCATCAGTCCTCTAGACGTGCCTTTTCAGGGTCATGGTCTCCACTGATTGGTCAGCAACAGGGCAGAGAGTTTCTAGTCACTGCAGTCGGTTCTGGCGCTGCCCACCTGGTTTTGCTGCTTTTCTGGGCTGAAACGCAACTGAGGCCTGGATGTTACCTCCAGGGAGGCGACTGGCTGCATCTGGCTGAAAATTGCTCAGCTGTTGTGTTCAGCTTTCTGCCTCAGTTTTCCTATTCCACTTGCCAAGGACTTTTCCCTGCTTCTTACTAACCTGTCTCATGTTGACTGGGGAGTTTAAAGAACCACCCATGCCTTGGCCCTGCCGTTGGTAAGTCTGACGCAGGGCGAGGGTTTATCTAGTTTTCAAATGCACCCTGGGCACTCAATGTAGGGAATGGTGGAGGATACAGCTAGTCAGATAAACAGGGAGCAGACAGAGAAAGGTGTCAGTGCCCAGACGGATTTAGCTGTAGGTCCAGGAAGCCTCTGAGGGCAGAGGAGAAAAAACATGGGCTTCGGACTTGGGCAGATGAAGGTTTCAACCCCATTTCTGCCACTTGCAAGCTGTATTACTGGGGCAGGTCAATGGTCCTCTTGGAGTCACATATTTCTGTCCTAAACAGTCATAATAATATTTTTCTAATAGGGCGGCGATGATTCCATGGGAAATCAACTATAAAAGGTCTGGCTCAGCACCTGACACCCTCATTCTCTGTTCTTCCTCTTGAGTGATCCTTTGGCTCACACCAGGCCTGCTGTAAGCCACCTTTGAGATGAACTAATAATGCAAGACATTTCTAGAGAAAACATGCACATACATGTCAGGATGAGAAAGGGAAAGAGGTATAAGATGTCCTTCAATCCCTGAGGTCTCAGAAACCTTCAGAGAAGCTGCACCTTTTCCAAAAAGGTCCCCTTTCACCTTAGAAAGGCGGAGATGCTTTGAACTTCACAAAGCTCTTGCCTTCATAAGCTTGGCAAAGGCAAAATCTGGCTTTGCTATTTGTCACCTGGGCTCAATAGCAAAGATAATCTCAGCCCCTGGGCAGTTTAACATATAAAGCAAGGGCAGCTGTTGTGGAAAAAAAAAACAACCAAAAAAAATCCAGGTGTAGTCATTTTTATTTTAAAAATCTCATGCAAATCTGTCTACAGAGCGAAGAATCTCCTTACTTGAGGATGAAAAATGCCATTACTTCTCAGAAGATCCTTCTGCTCTAATTCCATGTCGTTGACAGTCACTCGGTGACAGGACAAATATTTCCTGGTATCACTCCTGTGGGACAACTCCTTTGGAAGTGGTCTCAGCACAGTACTCATGTAAAACTGGTTTTCCACGCTGCCGGGTATTACATGTGTACACCAAATATTTATTTTAGAATTCCGTCTTAATCAGTATTTCTTGGAGGTCACCCATCCAAAAAGCAGTGGGGGCTGATGAAAAGGGAGAGGGATTTGGAATCAGACACATGTGGTCTCCAACCCCGACTCTGATAGGGATAAGCTGTGTGAGTTTAGGCCAATTGCTAAAACACTCTGGGCCCAGCCTTACTCTTTGCTAAAATGAGAATGTTATTCTTACTTTAAAGCTGGTGTTCTTTTCCTGGGAGAGCAGCCTTGGGTTGTGTGGAGAGAAGGAAAGAGCTCATTCATTCTGGAAAGCAGGACTTACGGGGTACTAGACTGGAAAGGGGAGAGTGGGGAGTTGGGGGGGGGGGGAAAGGCCTGCCTGCCCACAGGGGAGGTGTTTTGGGAACAATGACAGAAGACACTGGGACAGGAAAAGAAGGGCCCTTCCGCTTTGTACACTGATCACACACCAAAAGGCCTGGCCTTGGGACAGGTGTCTGGGAAGCCCCTGGGAGACAGATGGAGGGGCTTGAGCTGCAAGGGAAACAAATGCATTTAGAGTCACGTGGTGACTGAATTGAAAGCTTTTTCTGAATAGAGTTTTTGTCTGGTTTGCCTTCACTGGACATCAGAGAAACAGATGAAGAGAGGGATGGTATTTTTTTCTCCCTTGAAGAAGAACAAGGGGACTTAGCTTTACAGAAACAAGAGGGGCTTAAATTAAATAGTGACACTGACTTCCTCACTTTGAGAAAAGAGTATCCGGTGTCATAAGGAGCCTCTTTTCTAAGAGACTTGAAATCTCCTGGCTGGCAGAGGCTCAGGGAGGAGTTCATTAGTTCATTAGTGACTTTTAATCTCTTCCACATAATGGACAAGTTTCCTTAATTACTGAGACGATCATTATGTTGGAAAGTGTCCTGGTGAGCTCCTAGTTCCCACACTCCCGTCCACTCACTTCAGGGCTGAAACCATCTCAGATGCAAATCTGAGTTGCAAAGAGCAGACTCTGAGTTCTGGCGCTGGGTCTCAGGTGACACGCCCTCAAAGCCAGTGAGGATGCCGGGCCTGGAGCCCAGGCACCTGCCATTCCTCTTAAGGTTCCCTGCGAAAGGAAGGCGCCCAGAACTGACCAGAAGTCACAGAATTGGCATGGCTTGACTTCCCTATCTTTCTGAAGGTTGAGAAATTCAACCAAATTGATATAATAGTGCATTTATATAAATTCTGTTATCACTTTAAGGCCTAGGGATTTTCAGAGCAAAGGCCAATGTAAGACAACAGTATGTCTCCAGTGCAGCTAAACTTCAAGGGATAGACAGGTGTTAATGGTCAAGGGCACCCGTCTGCACAGGACAGCGAGAGTCGGTTCAGGGAGCAGTTACTGAGTCCTTATTAGGTACCCAGTCCTGGTTTGGGTATTGGGAGGCGGGATAGGGGAAATCCAGACATGATAGTGATAATGACAATGATAATGAAAACAGCAACATGTGACGACATGCTAGGCGTTGAGCTCATTTACCCATTTATTCAATAAAAAGTGAGGGCTTCATAAGAATTTGTTGAAGTGTTCACTTGCCCCAGCTACACTGGCTCCTCAAATGCGCCTCAGGGCCTTTGCATTTGCTCTTTTCTCCACCCGGAAGGCTCTTCTTCCAGATACTTGTGTGGTGACATTTGTGTGGTCTCCCTCACCTCCTTCACTTCCACGTGGAAACGACACTTCCTCGGAGGTCTTCTTGACCACCCTCCCGCCAGTTCCACAGACTTCCTGTCCCCCTCCACCACTCAGTTCCCCCTGAGCACTACCTCGGGTACGTGCCTACTGCTGGGCTGCTGCCTGGCCTCCCTTGCTGGTGTGAGAACCCTGTGAGGGCAGGGATTTCAGACCATTCATTGCTCTAGCTCCCTCGCCTAAGTTGGATGCTCAAATTTGTTCCATGTGCGAATGGAATAAAATAATTTCTCAGTGTCAATTATCCACCCAACAGTAAGCTCTAAGGATAGGGCCATGAACAAGGCAGACAGGTTTCTGCTCTCTAGGGCTCCATGGCCTGGTGGGAATATCATGCTAATTACACAGTAACCTCCATGTTGCTGAAATAGAGCGTTCTGGATGCTTCACAGACATTATTTCACGGAAACCTCATCACGACCCCAGGCCATTGGCACTGTAAGCCATGGTTTAGAGACTCCATTTTAGTTTTTTCTATAGGGAAGCTATCTAGGCAGGCTCTGAATTATAGAGTGGCCGGGTTTATTTAGTTGACACAGAATAATAACTATGTATATGTAACTTCATTTATAATAGTCTTTTTCATATTCATTACTTTCCATGAACCCTGCACAGTATTCATCCTACTCTATAAATGTGGATTCAGAGGAGTTAGAGAACATTCCAGAACCATACAACCGAGTTAGTTTTCCAGATAGGATCGAGCCCGATCTGTATCTTTATTACCCTTCATTACGAGGAACCCAAATGATGGAGGGACCAGTGGATGGGACAGTGGGGGTGGGAGACAGGACAGGGGGTCAGGGACTAAGATGTTCCTAGAGGAGGAGGCGGTTGGGACTTCAGGTTGGGGGGCTGGGGAGAAGAGGCTGAACAGCAGAGGCTGGCAGGCGGCTGTCGGGCAGGGAAGGCAGGTTGCAGAGACTCCTCGCTGGGCAGGGGGGCACAGTGCCCACGCCCCCTTCCCACACACGCCCTCCTGGTCACTGCGATTCTAATAAGGGGTTGTGGGAGATTCCGGAGTAACGCTGGGGCCTGATGAAAACGGTCTCGAGGAGCAGGGTTTTTATAGCAACTTCTCCAACCCACTCACTTAGACACCCACTGTATCCACATACCCCTCCTACTTTTTGGTTAAATTAGCAACATACATTTGCAACATGCTATCTGAACCTATCCTAACACACTGCATTTCCACCTAACACTTACTCCTACTAAACTTTCAAACTTTGGTACTTTCCCAAGACCCCAACCCCCTAAGGAGTGGGCACTCTGGCCGTGGGGAGTGCTGAGAACGAGGGGCCCAGCTTTGTAAGTTATGCACTGTTACATCCATCCATCATGCATTAAGCACCTCCTATAATCCAGGCAAATTAGCTGGCACTGGGGATAAGAAAAGGAACAGATCAGTATCTGCCCTGAAAGCTCTACTGCGGGAGGCAAGTTCAGTGCTATAAATAGACACGGTATCACCTAAGTGCTATCACCTCTCTGGGAGCTGGCGGGGCACCCAGGAGGGACACTTATGCAGGTTGAGGGCCGGGGCAGGAAGAGCATTAAGGAAGTGGAGTTCCTTAGAGAATATGGCAAACTAGGGCCCCTGTAGGGACGCTCCATCTGGCTACATAGAGAAGGAAGGGATCTGAGGGAGAAATGAGGCTGGAGGAGAAGGGGCCACATTATGAAAGGCTTTTTAATGTCATGCGAACACAGGGACTCTCATTATACGTTACACATGTAACATACACAGCAGTGTGGTCAGAGGGAGTAGTTGAGGGAGTGAATTACCAGTGTCGGGTTGAGCTGGAGCCCTGCCCAAGCCTTCCCAGTTTGAGATTCCTGCTGCTTATCAAGAGTCTGGGTTTTACCAGAAGGCCAGCTGGCCTCGATGAGCTTCCCTTTGCCTTAACATCTGACTATACCTCCCCGTGCTGGTCGAGAGTGCAAGCTCCAGGGGCCGCTGCCCAGATTCCAGCCCGACTCCTACGATTCTCAGGTTGTGTCACTTGGTGTGAGCTGCCCACCCTCGCGGGTGCACTGGGCCAACACTCCCGCAGTGCCTGCCAAAGGCTCGCTGAGGACGGCAGGAGGTGGCGCACGGTGAATCCCTGCAGGGTGCTGGTCCCCAGGGCGTGGCCGGCAAACGTCCATGTGCCGTGAGGCTGCAGCTCCCCCGCAGCCCCCCTGCAGCCCCACGGGGCTAGCAACCACCCCTTCGTTGTCGTCTCCAGCCCCATCACCACTGCCGTCACCTCGATCACCGCTGTCACCATCGCTCCCAGTGTCACCTCACGGAAGATCTAGGAGGTCATTCCTCAGTGGGCTCCTCCCTGCATGCTCCCTCCTTGAGGCTGTCTTACGGAAAAGAAGGCTCTACCTGGAGGGGCTTGAACAATGTGAAACCCATAACATTTATTTTTGTGGCAGACATTGTTCCAGGCACTCGGGGATAAAAGAGTGAGCTAAATAAAGCTCCCACACGTGGAACTGACAATCTAATGAAGAGAGACAGGCAATAATAATTATACCAGCAACTATGTAGTAGGTTGGGGAGAAACGAATACTACAGTGAAAAACAAGGCAGGGAAAGGAAGAGTCTCTTGTGGGGCAGTGGTTATAAAGGTGGCTTCAGCATGCCTGGAGGCGACATCTGAACTGAGGACGCAAAGGACACTACGAAGCGGAAGGGGTTGGTGGGGGCGGTCGAGTTCATCAGGCACAGAGAACAAACTATAAAAGGCTAAGGGAGGAACGTGCCTGGCACACTGGGGAGCGGTAAGGCGGCCTTCGTGTCTGATGCCGCCGGTGGTCCAGGGGTGAGTGAGAGGGGATGAGATCGGAGAGGGCGGCACGGGGTCAGAGCATGGGGGCTGTGGAGGTCGTTGTCGAATTTTTGCCTTTTCCTCCCAGTGACTTGGAAGGCCATGGGAGGGTTTTAGAAGAAGGTGTGATGGGATCAGACACATTTCCAGGGAGGTCGTGTTGTCTGGCCAGTGTGCTGAAAAGAGGCCACGAGGTAGCAGGTGCTTAAGCAGAGGGGTCAGTGTGATGTTATTTCAAGAGTTCAAACGTGAGTTGGTGGTGACTTGGATCAGTGGTAGCAAGCAGTGGAGGTTGTGAGGAGTGGGAGGTGCTGGATACACTTGGAGGTTAAAGACAAGATTTGCTCATACACTGCACTGGGTGTGGGGGGGTTGGATGAGAGACAGAGAGGAGTCGAGGATCATTCCTGAGCAACTAAATGGATGTTATTGGCACGGGCTGGGGTGAGGAAGGCTGTGAGTGAAGCAGATGTGGAGAGAAAAGCAATTTAATATTCATGTTGCCTCTACAAGGTAGGTACTATGGTTCCCTTAAAAAACTATGGGCCCTGGCTGCTGTGGCTCAGTGGATTGAGCACCAGCCTGCGAACCAAAGGATCGAAGGTTTGATTCCCAGTCAGGGCACATGCCTGGGCTGCAGGCCAGTTCCCAGCAGGGGATGCATGAGAGGCAACCATACGTTGATATTTCTCCCCCTCTCTCCTTCCCTTCCCTTTAAAGATAAATAAGTAAAATCTTAAAAAAAAAAAAAAAAAGCAAGCAAGCCCTGGCTGGTGTAGCTCAGTGGATTGAGCACGGGCCTGCGAACCAAAAGATTGCGGTTCAATTCTCCATCAGGGCACAAGCCTGGGTTGCAGGCCAGTTCCCAGCAGGGGCCAGTTCCCAGCAGGGGATGCACCAGAAGCAACCATACATTGAAAAAAAACAAAAGACTATGGTTACCTGAAAAAACCTCACTCCGTGAGGTGAAGCCTGTGGTGTAAAAGCCACACATGGTGCTGGGAGCTCCAAGAAATAATTCCCCTACTGCATGGAGTCACAGGATTTGAAGCTGGGGAGCTGCTGGGAGTGTGAGCCAGGAGGCTGGTAGGGCAGAGCAGGGGGAGATCCTAGCTGAGCCAAACTGTAAGGAAGGCCCCCACCTCCAATACACACCCTGTCTGCTGGGCATTCCTACTCGTGCCTCGGCCCCTGGGTGGAGGGGTGGGGTGGGTCTCATCAACCTGGAACAGAGAAGAGGCAATCAGCAGTAACAGGGGCTTTCTATTTAGGCATTCTAACTGAACTGCAGAAAACCAAGAGGGCTGCAGGTTTACAAACCTCCACCTTGTAATTTATGGTCCATGTAGTCCAACGGTGTTCTGAAGAGGCTTTGCACAAGCTGGGGGACCATCCAACGTGCCTGAGGGTGGATGAAGAGGAAAAGGGGCAGAGGAATATAAATCAAGAGGAAAGGAAGGGCAACTTCCTCCGAAAGCTTGCTCTGCTGACTCGCAAAATGGGGCAGAAGAATGAAAACCTCCGGGAAGACCCGCCGGTGCCTTCCTGTCCTGGAAGATGCACTGTCACGACTAATTACCAACCTCCTCTCTGGGTGCAGCCAAACACTACAGTGGAACCACGCTTCACAGGAAAACACTGCCTGCTTTTTCAAGTTAAACACATCAGAGCCTGTGGTCTGTAAGCCTCATATGGTGCTGGAAGCTCCGAGAACTATGGATGAAAGAAAATCATTGAAACCTAGACACAGAAGGTCTGTGCAGCTACACTTTCCCTCAATGACTCCATGAATTGTGTTAGCCAGCTTTTATTCAGTGAACCCTCTCCTGTGCCCAGTATTTACGGTGCCTCTCGTTTAATCCTCACTGCAACTCAGGGAAGTAGTTCTTATAACCCCATCTCACAGGTGAAGACACAGAGACTCAGAGAGGTCACATTCCCTAGTCTGTCATGATGCTGACTTTGAACCCAAGTCGGTCTATTCCAGATCCTGGGTCTTAACCACTATACTCGCTGCCTCCCAGAGGGAAAGGAGGAAGGAGAAAAACTGAAAACAGCATCAGTCCCCTCCTCCTCCCCTCTATCCTTCCAGGGCTCAGTAGAGTCAGAGTTGAACCCCCCCCCCCCATTTTTATATCTTGGCCTACAGTCTAAATCAACTTAAAATTTTAAAATATTTAATTATTTCTGACAAAAATCAGATGACTATTTTCTCTAAGACATGGATTCATAATAAGAAAGGTCTTTAGAGATGAAGAAGGGGTGACCTTGATATCCAGAGAGGAGGTTAAGTACACTTTTCAATGTCAGGGTTTGGTGGCAGAACTAAGGCTAACAAAGCTGGGCTCCTGCCTCCCAGGCCAGCACTTGGCTGGGCCCCCAGAGCTGCTTTGCCAGTAACGCTGTCTCTTCCCTCACACGGATGACTGCATGAAGGATGATAGCTCTTTCTGTGTGCCAGAGATTCTAAACACAGTCTGAACTTAGCTGAAGTTTCTAAACAAGAGTGTTCTGGGGTTTTGTTTTGGCCGTCCCCTCCCCACCTCTCAGTCAAGGTCAGAGTTGTGTGTCCTGTTGAACCTGTGTGGGGCAGATGATTGTATTTCTAGAACTTAGTATAATTTACTCTGCCCTCCCACAGATTCTTCAGCCTGGCTGGCTGGCTTTTACAGACCTCTGCAATCTGGACCCACTCCACCCACCTCGTATCTTTCTTCCTCATGTCACAGTTCACACCCTTCCTATCAGACAGGTGTCCTGGGCTTACCCCATTTCCGGCCACAGAAATATCCCCTCTGCCCTCCTCCTATGCAAATTCATTGTTCAAGGCTTTGCTCAAGACCATTCTGCCCAAGAAGACTTCCCCAAGTACAGCCCAGTGGTTTGCTTTCCAAGTTCCCTTAACATTTATGTTCTGAACCATCATCTACTTTAGCCTCAAAATGGTTCTGCACATTTTCCCAAATGTAATGCAGGCCCCTGGAGGGCAGGCACACATGTGTTTATTCATTCACTATAGAGTTTTTTTATACCCTCACCAAGGACATACTTACAGATTTTAGAGAGGGGGAAGGGAGGGAGGGAGACTAGAGAGAAACATTCATCAGTTGCTTCTCCCCCAACCTAAGCATGTGTCCTGACCCGGAGGCAAACCAGTGACCTTTTGGCTTACAGGGCCATGCTCCAACTGCCTGAGCCACACTGGTCAGGGCTCATCCACTATAGAGTTTAAAAAGCACATTACAACGTGAGACACAAAGAAATACAAGCAATGGTTGCTTCCTGTCCCCAAGGAGGGGAGACTCTAATAGTTTGCAGACATCCGTCTGGCACATAGTGGGACCTAAACAGAGGTTTGCTACATGGAACATATACATACGTTCAATTATTTGCTCTAAGTCCCATGAGAGAGAGGTACCAGGTGGTGTTATAGGGAAGGCATCATGAAAGAGGTGGCATTTGAACTAGGCCTTAAGGACAGGGAATGTTTTTTAAAACCAGAATGGGAAGAACAGGCAGAAGAATCCACGTTGCTCACAGCACATTGCTGGGCATACACAGTGCCAGGCACACACCAGGTTCAGGAGGAAAGCGGTGGAGCGGAGTTGGGTCCCCGCCCCAGCACCAACTAGCCTTAGTGAGTGCGTTGCTTAATTTCCATGGGGCCACGTTTCCTTCCCACTCGGAAGTGATTAAACAGCACAAGCTCTGGAAGAAGCAGATGGCTGAATATGACCTTGAGCCAGTGATTTGGGGTGGCTGGTTCAGCCTCAGTTTCCTTCCTATAAAATGGGTAAACTAATTCCTACCTTGGGAAGTTTTCTGAGGTTTTAAGAACACGTGTAAGTTGCTAAGCACAATCCTGACGTTATTGTATTTCCTTCTACCAAAGTAGGTGCTCCCAAGCTGGTCCCTAGTAGGAGCTGTAGACAGACTGCGGGGGGGGGGGGGGGAGAGGGGCGGGCAGGCAACCACACAACGCAGTTGACAGGGCTTCAGAAAAAAAAGACAAGTGTTGACACTGGGCTCACTGGCTGGGGAGAAGCTCAATACGTGTTTCCACATTCGAGACTTCATATAGTCCAAGAATCTTTGCTCACTGTCCCAATCACGCCCTTCGGGGTTGACTGGTTTTACACAGACAGCCCTTTCGGCCTCCGCCTGCAAACCCAAGGGAAGAGACCAGGCCCAGCCCCGCGGCGGGCTTGGAGGACAGCTCGGAGTGGTGGGCGGGGATGCCCCAACTCCCAGCGGGAAAGAATGCGGTGGGGAGGATTCCCTCCCCCTCACTCCCACTCTCGGTCTGGGTAGGGCTCCTGGGGCTCCCTCCTTCACTTCCTCTTCGCTCACTGGTCGAGAAGGAAGAGGGGTTCGCGCTTGGCCCACCGCGCCGGGTCATCCCAGACTCTCTTCCGTCCCACCCGCCTGGCCACCCCCACCTCGGCCGCCTACCCCTGAGGCCCCCGTGGCCCCCGCCCAGTCGTCAGTCTCCGACCCAGTCCAACCAGTCTTTCTCCCCCTCCCTTTGACCACCGAGGCTGCCCGTCCCCGGCTCCGCAGACCCCGCCCGGCCGTCCTCGTTCCCTCCGTCACTTCGCCAGGAGGTGCCCCCCGCCCCCCCGCGCCCCGTGGTCCGGAATTGGCCACCCCACACCCCTCGACCCCGCAGACCCCGCTCGGCCACGCCCCCATCCCAAGGCCGCGCCCACCTCCACGTCCATTTCCACCACCACCCCGGCCCCGGTAGACCCAGACTGGCCGCTGCTCGCCCGCGTAGATCCCGCCGGGCCACCCCTTCTCGGCCCGCCCCCTGTGGGGTCGTGGCGCAGGGGGAGGGGCCGCCCCCGCCCCCGCGTGCGTGGCAGGCTCACCCCGCTCCGCGCTCCCGGCCTCCCTTCCCGGGGGGCGGGGTCGGCGCCGCGGCGGCGAAGTCAGCCCCCTCCTCCTTCCTCCCTCGCCCGGCCTCCTGCCTCGCCGCCCGCCCGCTCGCTCTCTCTCGGCCGCTCCGACGCCAGCAGCGCCGCGTGCCGCTCGCCCAGCCCCGGGGGAACCCGAGGAAGTGTCTCGGGCCGCGCGTCCCCCTCGCTCGCCTCGCAGCCCGCGGCCTCCGCCGCTGCGCCCGCCATGCCCTCGGCCAAACAAAGGGGCTCCAAGGGCGGCCACGGCGCCGCGAGCCCCTCGGAGAAGGGCGCCCACCCGTCGGGCGGCGCGGATGACGTGGCGAAGAAGCCGCCGGCTCCCCAGCAGCCGCCTCACCCGCCACCCGCGCAGCACCCGCCGCAGCACCCGCCGCAGCATCCGCAGAACCAGGCACACGGCAAGGGCGGCCACCGCGGTGGCAAGTCCTCCTCCTCCTCCGCTGCCGCCGCTTCGTCCGCGGCGTCCTGCTCGCGCCGGCTCGGCCGGGTGCTCAACTTTCTCTTCTACCTCGCCTTGGTGGCGGCGGTCGCCTTCTCCGGGTGGTGTGTGCACCACGTCCTGGAGGAGGTCCAGCAGGTCCGGCGCGGCCACCAGGACTTCTCCCGGCAGCGGGAGGAGCTGGGGCAGGGCTTGCAGGGCGTCGAGAAGAAGGTGGGTACCTCCGGCCCCCGTACCTACAGCCAGGCCCTTGCCCAGGCCCCCCATCCGGTCCCCGAGTCCCCAGGCGGCCCCCAGACCCTCTTCGTAATGGCTGCGGAGGGATCGGGCTCGAGGGATGGACCGCTGCGAGGGTGGGCCGAGGGCCTGTCACAGGACACTAGTGGTGACCTGTAAGGAAGCCGGAGGCTTGGGGAGCCCATTCTTTCCGGGTTAAGAACCGTTGAATGGGCAGAGTTCTCTGGAAAGGAGGTTGGGAGGGAAGCCAGCGCATCTCTGGAAGTCTCTGGCAAGGCCGCAGGTACCTCAGCTCTCCCCGTGGGAGACATCTGAGCCAGTTTTTAATAGACCCGGAGCCTGCGGAAGGAAAACCTTATTCATTTGCGAAATTCCAGTGAAATAGTACATGTCTTTAGGCCCCCTCTTCCTTTATTGGACCAAGGTGCCCATGTGGGCCTTTGGAAGCAGCCTACTACAGCTTTAGAGGAAAAGAAAAGCCAAGAATAGTAAGTCATATGGGTGGATAATACCACTTATATGGTGTTTAGAATGTTTCCTCACTATCTAATTTTCATAGCACCTCTGGGAGGGGGGAGGGTAGTGGCAGTTTCGACTCCATTTTTCAGACTAGGAAACTGAGGGTTAGAGGGCTTAAGTGAATGGATCAAGACCCCAGCTGGTGAGTGGCAGATTTCGTGAGAATGTCTAGGCCCCTGCCCAGTTCGGGGTCCACAGGGGCTTATGGCAGGTATGTGGATGGACTCAACTTTCAACACAGAACTGCTTAGCGTGCACGCATCTGTGTGTTTCCACACTGAGTGGGACTCCTTCAAATCTCATTCCTCCTCCTCCGTCCTCCACTTAATGTCATTGCTCAAGGAGAGTTGGTTGCCTGATGAAACAAAAAATCCCGCCACCACTCAGGAGCCTGAAACTGCTGCCTCCTTTTCCCAGTATGCTGTCTGTCTTGCCAGGTCCCTTTCCACTTTTGTGGACTAGGCAGGGCTAGGCATTTGCTCTTCAGACAGGCAGAGCAACTGGGATGAGTCAGCCTGCTGGGGCTGCAGGCCACAGGAGGTGACTTTTGAGTTAAGTAGGCAGTGGTGCTTTGCCTGTCCCGAATGTGAAATCCTTAAGAAAATAGATGTGCTGCTGGGGTGGAATCACTAGGCTCCCCTCTTCCTCCCTCTCTTTCATCCCCTTACTAATCAGTCATAATATTTATTGAAGTCTGATAGTCACATGGCTTTGCGTAGGCCCTGTGGATGGTAGGAAGCAGAAAAGACACGAATCGTATTTCTGAAGCTGCACGTAAATGGGTTTCCATCAAGGGAAACGGGGAGTGTCCAGATGGGAGAGGATGTGGAGTTTGCCTAGGCCTCTGCCCTATCCCTGTGGTCAGTTGAGATCTCGTCGGTGATCCGTAACTTGAGTGAAGGTATGAGGAACACACAGGCAGTGGACAGTCTTGAGCATGTTTGAGGGACAGCGGGTGGCTCCTCTGCCTATAATGAGCAACAGGAAGTTGTGAGGGGTGATTGAAACTGAGGCCCAAATAGGGGAGGGAGGTCATGAATCCAGATTGAAGAAATTGAGCTTTATTCTCCGAGTCCTCCCTGTCCCTCTTATTCCTTCCTTTCTGATTCCCACCCCTTCTCTATCACACGGCACAGTTGTGTACAGATTACTTTCCTTTCTGGAACTCAGCTCTCTCATCTATACAGGGGTGGGTCCCATCTAGATTTTGAAGAATCTGCCTATCAATGACAGTATTGAACGAGTGATCACTGTGGAAGATAGTGACCTTCCTTTTAACTTAGCATTGTAATCAAGCTGCTGTTTAATGCATCATATTTATTGTGTTCTCATCTCTTTCACAACAGCCCCCAAGGGATGGCAATTACTGCTGACCCTGGAACAACGTGGGTTTGAACTGCATGGGCCCACTTATTATATGTGGGTTTCTTTCGATATCTACTTACAGGACTGTAATATATTTTCCTTGATAGCATTTTATTTCTGGCTTTATTTTATTTCACTAGCTTTATTGCAATAATACAGTATATAATATGTACATATAACATGCAAACTGTGTTATATTGACTGTGCTATTGGTAAAGCTTCCAGTCAGCAGGCTATCAGTAGTTAGGGTTTGGGGGAGTCAAAAGGTATATGTGGATTTTTGACTGCCGGCGGGGTCGGCACCACTAACTCCTGCCTTGTTCAGGAGCCAGCTGTGCTATTATCCATCCCCCTTTCGCAGATGAGAAAAGTGAGGCACAAAGAGGCTAAGTACTGTGTAGTTACACAACAGGTAAGTGGCAGGGCTAGGGTCAACCCACATTTGTCTCCTAGAACACTTTTACTCATCTGTTCACGTTTTCTCTTTCCTGTGCCTTGCCTGGTTGGTAGTTGTACTCAGTTTATGCTCAGTCCATTGGCTTGGAACTCAGAGCATGCCCAGAAGAGTATAGGATTT